TTTAAATAATAGTATAAATTCAACATCACAGGATAATAATATAAATCGACAAATTTTTGTTGAATCTCCACAACAGATTCACACAGATCTACAATGGATGAATAATAATAATATAAATCTACTATCACAGGATAATAATACAAATACAGGATTTTTAAATAATAGTATAAATTCAACATCACAGGATAATAATATAAATCGACAAATTTTTGTTGAATCTCCACAACAGACTCACATAAATCCACTACCACAGGATAATAATACAAATATACCATTATTGGATAATAATCAAATATCATATCCACCATTGTTTTATACGTATTCATCGATTTATAATATAGATCTGAATCAGTCGTACTCACTACATCATACAAATTCATCGATTAATATACATCCACAATCATTTGATAATAACCAAACATCATATTTGCAACAACTTGAACCAATTTCTCAATTACCAAATTACCCAGATCTAGTTACATATCCTTCTAACGAACAACCGGTTTATATGACATTACAGCCCGAATATGGAGTATTGAAGATGAATGCACATAGTATTCCAACTAGCATACAACCGAAAAAGGATAAGCAACCTGACATGATTCGACGTCGACAAAAAAAAAAAGCAGAAACCAAAAAAGCAGAAACCAAAGAAGTAGAAACCAAAAAAGCAGAAACCAAAAAAGCAGAAACCAAAAAAGCAGAAACCAAAAAAGCAGAAACCAAAAAAGCAGAAACCAAGCGAAAACACACTACTAATGCATGTCATACGTGTCGCAAAGCACGTCTAAGATGTAAAAAAGAAAAAAACTCTACTTCTTGCAATAGGTGTATTGAAGAGAATAAGCAATGTACTTTTGATAAAAATCCGGGAAAACGAGGTCGCAGACCTGGTAGCAAAAATAAACCTAAGGTAAAAAAAATCATATTTTTTCAATATTCTTTCTCTGTTTCAAATAATCATCCGTTTTCTTTAATAGGAAAATGGAACAGAAAACTGTGATATCATTTCTACTGATAATATTGTCAACGTTACTAAACCATGCCACCATGGTAACAATGAAGTAGTAGCTGATAACCTTAATTTAAATGGTCTTTTTGATACTTTGAATGCAGAAACAGAGCAAACACAAGGTAATAGCAATGATCAAAATAATTAAAAATGAAAATAAAAATAATAGCAAATACTACTAATGATAATATATACCTACATATTTTCGTAAATCTAGATGATGTTGACGTTGACACTCATGTCAATAATAATATTAATGGTACTTGTAAGTAATGTAAATTAATTAACTAATTTGTTTGTTCGTTCTTATTAACAAAAAAATTTTTTTAAGCGCCTGTTTCTGATGATGGTAGTGGTGGTGACTTGCAAGGTAAATTGATAACAACATTAAACATATATACAAACAATATCATATATGTAATTTTCTTAAAAAAATTTTAGGAGGTAATCATCATTTGCAACAATCACTGCTTAAAGGCCTGTACTTCACCAAACTCAATCTATGATCATTATATATATACATATGAGAAGGATGCAGCACCACCATAACTATGGGATAAATGTATTGGTGATAATAGTAGGTAAATACCAATTATCTGCTGGCGATATATGGTTTGTTCATAGATGATAGTGTATCATTTATCTTAAAAAAAAATTTTATATATTTACTTGGAAAATATATAAATATATTCTATTCTTTTCCTTTCGCTTTTTATCATTTAATTCATTTATATTTTATCTAAAAAAAAATTTTAAAAAAAAATTTTTAAATAAAATTTTTAAAACAGTTCGTGTAACTGAAAATTGTAAAATAAATATTTCTGTTTAATTATTATGATCAATGAAAAATAAATCAGTTGCTAACTGTATAAGAATGAAAAAACGCCACCTTCAAGAAAATAGATGAAGCAAGCATGGTTATGCATAGTTGTCCTAGGATCAGATCGGCTTCAGCTTTCGGAAAGTGGATATGATGCTATTATGATACGTATCTATATTATTATGAAAAACTAAACTCTTCTTGAGCATTAAATACGATTGGTATTGATTATATCTATCTACAGAAAGAAAAGAAGGAAGCTTAAGTAAAGACACTCTAATAAGAATGTGTGTGCCAATTTTGCGCTAAGGAGAGATGAAGTCCAACGATTACAAATTTGTATTATCAACAACGGAAATAGTGATATTGTGCGTGAATTTGAAATATGTGTGAATTTAAATTCACGCACAACGCATAAATGTTTGGTTGACCAGGATCATGTGTATCAAAGGTTATTACTGATGCTTTTTTACAGGAGATAAGGTTTAATGCAACTTTGTAAAATTACAAAAACTCACTAATAGAAATCATGGCCCGCCTAAAGGTGCTGCCTACCTGTTGAATGTGAGGTTGATATAACTAGAGCCAAGCGTCAAAGTATAGCCAGTAAAACTGCAAAGCACAATATGGCAGAGAATCAAGTGAGAACAAGCCAGATCTCATGATATGAACATATCTGATTCATCTATGACAAACATCTATGGACTTGTTTTAATTGGGATTTTAAATAGTCTCTTTCTCTCTTGTTTTGTTCGATTTCATTATCATTATTTATTTCTTCGATCGATGTTAATATTTATAAATTCAAATGCACTATATGATGATCATGTGTATTGTAATGAATATATGGAGGCAGAAAATATAATAATGCAAGAAAAAATTTTTATATTTTGATTTGCCAGAGCAATCACAAGGATAAAAATTACTCAGATCCAAAGCCACTACCTATTCTTTGGTCGCTCTGGTAGGAATCTATGCCACATATTCACTATTTTTATTATTCTTTATTTTTCATCACTTTATTTTTTTCCATTTCCTGAATTGCTTTTTTCTTAGAATTGGTTTTTCGTTAGTGTGTAGAAGTTCCCATGGTGTAAGTAGCAACTCCTTTCTCCACTCCATGCAAATTGTGAATTTCAATTAGTCTTGCCCAATCCCTTTCTTATCAAATAATTGTTTGAAATCTTTCAACATCTCCTGAGTAGACTAAGTGGAATTCCAATCAATAATCCATAAGCATCTTTATTATATAATAAAAATAAAATACTTGTGTTCAATGACTATTGAAAGTTCTGGAATTTGATTTTTTCAGAGTGAATGGTTTTTATGATAATAATAACTCTAAAAAATTATGAATGTCCATCCATACTCTGAATTGCAAATCAAGTGAAAAATTAACATGAATAAAAATTATTTAAAACCACATAAAACTTTTGTTTTAGTAGAGCGTTGAACGTGTTATATTTACATAGTTTTAGTTTTCTTTTATTTTCAACCCTGAAATTTCTTTGTCTTCGCCGAATTGTCATCATCTCTAATACTAACATCTAATAAGAATACCTAGACGACCGACCATGTGGTAGTTTTAAGGGACAGTGTACCAGATGCACATCGTGGACCAACATCACTTTTCTTTTGTACGATCATTATTTCAAAAAAATTTTTTTGATATTGATAATCAAATTATATAGTAATTTGTAACAAATAAATATATGCGTAAGATCCTTTATTTACAAAATATTGACATTGGTTTGTGATCTCAAGTGCTCTCACGAGCAAAGAATCACATTAATTCCTTTTTTTCCTTTTTTATATTTTTGGAGCAACTTGAAAAAAATTTTTTTTTTAATATTTCTTTTTACTAAATTCTAAAATTATTATTACCAACTTCAACAGTTGGAAATAAATAACATTATTCCAATTAACAGTTGATATATTAATATATCTGTCTTCAACAGGCGATATATCTATCCTTTAAAAAATTATTTATCAAATTAAATAAAATATGAGTAACGATTCAGAATTAAGATTTAGATTTGGTTCCGAAAACAACAGCATTAGCAACAATACTAGTGGTATTAATGATGACGACGACGATAATAGAATATTTGATGAATTGAATGATAATAAAAAGGAAAAGGTGGAAGGAATTGTTTATGGAAAAACACCATACAATAGTGGTATCTATCATGAATTCAATTGAATCTGTTTATCTCTAAAATTATCAACTAGCATTTTTTCCATGATTTATAAATTGTGATGCCATAAATTTTGTTTCTAATTCAAATTTCTTCTAAATTCTCGTATAAATAAATATATGATGATAGCATTTCCTGTGCCACGTACTGTAGAAATGCTTACATCAGTCTTTGATCCAAAGTGCAAAAAATCTTTATTTGATTACATCACATTTTCAGTAATTGGTTTCCAAGTATTACTATTTTTTGTGCTTCCATCATCAAGCAAAAAATCTATTTTCTTTTTTCTTTTTTTTTTTTGGAGATGTGCATACAATATGGGATTGGGTTGGTTATTGAAATATCAGAGTGATAAGCGCGGTCTGGTTATTTGGGCAAAACGTAATAATATTTTTCATAAAAAAAACTTGAAATGGTATCCTCTTCTCAAGAAAGAATTAAGCACAAAAATGGGTGATGATTATGATTTTGATGTAAGTAATTAACACTCTCAACTGCAAAGTTATATTATTACTTTTAAAAATAATAATAAATCATAATCTATTTATCATCTATCCATCTATCCATCCATCTGTTCATTCCCATCTGATACATTAATTTAGTAATTGTTTTTTTATTTATTATTACTTATATATATATACATATTTAAATGTGTATATATATATAGAAAGTTCCTTTGGAATTTAATACTTGGCTTCTATTTCGACAATTTGTTGATCTAATTCTTCTCAATGATTTTGCTTCGTACATTTGCTTTGCTCTTTCAAACTTTGGCATTCCGGAGGACTCGGGCTTTTTTATTAACTTGTTACGTTGGATCGGAGGCTTTTTCTTATTATGGTTTAACATTTGGGTAAAAGTTGATGCTCATCGTGTAGTCAAAGATTTTGCCTGGTGTAAGTTTTCTGTGCCTTTGGCTCATTATTCAAAATAATAGGATATTTATCACACACATACTTACTTGCGCTTATTTTATGTAGACTGGGGTGATTTCTTTTTCCTTATCGATCAATCACTCACCTTTGATGGTGTATTTGAAATGGCACCGCATCCCATGTATTCCGTTGGTTATGTTGGTTATTATGGCATTTCTATGATTACGTCTAGTTACACTGTATTGTTTGTAAGCTTGGCAGCTCATGCAGCACAATTTGCATTCTTAACCATTGTAGAAAATCCTCGTAAGCAATTGTTAAACTTTATTTTTATTTTAGCATTTATGTCACAATCACAAGTGATAAATAATTAATTGCTGATGGATGATCATTTACTTTTATCATACATGATTATTTAATAACAAAAAATCTTAATTTTAAATTACTTTGATTCTAAAAATTTATAGATATTGATAAAACATATAATTCACCAATATCACTTAATGCTAAACTTTCAAAACCATTATTGACAGACAAATATGAATCAAATACTATTTTAAATGAAGATACCTCCGTTTCTTCACCACCAGTTCCTCATTCGTCGTCATTATTATCGTCGTCGTCATCATCATCACCACCATCATCCTCTCCACCTCCCTCTAACAATAAAATAATTCAACCTATGCTTCCTGATTTATCAAACACATCACATTACCATTTCCGTCGTGATCTTATCATATTCAAAAACTTTGACTTGTTTCGATCAAATGATCTTTTTGTCATATTCATAATTTTTTATGCTGTTATTGTTCCATTATTTATAGCTGGAACTCCTGACAATATTGTTAAAACATTTTTAGTTTTACAATGTTTGACATGGAGAATATTCCATTCTTATGGGCTAGGTTATATGTTATATTTGCAAAGTAAAAGTAAGTTTTTAACAAAACATTATGTTAAATTTGGTGGAAATGTGAACGAAGCATTTTCTAATTGGAAAAGGTGAGAATGGTTATTTTTTGGAAGGATATATTATATCTAGATGTATATGTATACATACTTTAACAATTATTGAGTTTTTTTTTTTTTTAGCATTTATAATTTATCATTGTGTATGACATATGTAACATTTATTGTTGCTGCGTGGAAAATGTACTATTTCCCTGTTGATTGGACTTATGGATTGGTGTTATTAAGACATACAATGGGTGTACTATTGATTGCATTACATATATGGACATCTGTTTCTGTGTTTGAAGTTCTTGGTGATTTTGGATGGTTCTATGGTGATTTCTTTATGGATGATTATTCTACAACTTTATATTATACTGGCATCTATAGATTTGTTAATAACCCAGAGAAAATTATGGGGCATGCTGCATTCTGGGGAATTACTCTTATCGCAAATAGTTGGCTTATTTTTGGCATGGCATTATTTTCACAGATTTCAAGTTTTCTATTTTTGAGATATGTCGAGGGCCCTCATATGAAAAAACTTTATGGTGACAAAGTCAGGAAAGAGGCAGGAATCACCAAGACTATCAAACGTCTAAAAATTATTCCTGCCACTGTTAGAAAAGAAATGTCTAAAATTCGTGAAACTACAGAGATTCAAGTTATTCAAAAGGTCATTAAAGAACTTGCCGAAACTGTTGAAAGGGCGGTGGAAGAAACTGCTGATGCTTTAGGTGAATTTGTTGAATCAACGAAACCTAAACTTCAAGAAGTTGTCGAAGAAGCTAAAACAATGTTGCAAAATTCTCGTGTCAAATTAATAAGGTAGATATATAGATAGATAGATGTTACATTTTTTATTTATACTATTCTATATAATTTCCTTCTCTATTATTTTAGCCAAGCTGTTGGTCGAATTCAAAATCACGACGTTTCAAGATACTCAATAGTCCTTGTAGCTCCTGAGGATTCCACAGATATCACACCATCAAGCACACCAATTTCTTCACGAGAACAATTTAAAACGATATCAAAACCAATCATATTCACACTTGGCTCACCGATCCGTTTGAAGTGGACTGCACCAAATAATCATTCACATAAAGATTGGATCGGTGTTTATAAGGTTACGTCTAATTCTTCAAAGAATATTACTAGTGTCACTAGTAGAGGTCGTTACATGTATGTTTTGCCCGAAGATGAAGATTTTGATAATAATAATGCAGCAGCAACACCTACTACTACTACTGCCACTAATGTCACCAGTGAATTGTGGTTTAAGGGTGATCAATTGCCTTGGGAAGTTGGCACTTATGAATTTAGATACCATCACGACAACAAACATATAGTTATGGCCATTTCACAACCATTCGAAATCAAAGGTATGTTGTTGTCAATAATAATTATAAACAATAATAATGGTAAAATTACAATCATTAATTAATTTATTTAAAAAATAAGCACCAACACCAAAATACATATTGGATCTTCCGTCTGTTGAGCAAATGGTGCTCACATTAGTACAAAAAGCGCTCGACACTGATCCTAAATTTGTTCCATACTCTACACAAGATGATTATGTCTTGATGAAGGAAGTTCATGCTAAGCGCATTGTATATGGGATTAAGATGAGTTTTGGTGTTGACTTTGCATGGGAAGTTGTTGCTATTGATGGAAATGTTAGGAGGCTTGCAAGAAGGGTCAGTATTGATAGTATTTTATTCGTTATTTTTGGTATTTTTATAGAGATATAAACATTAATTATATGATAACGATTATATCATTATTGTAGATACATAAAGCACGTCTTGTTTTATCACCTATTCAAGGTAAACAACAAATAAATGAAAGTGACATTGAAAAAAGTTTATATTCTCCTACTTTGAGTGAAAATAGTGAATAGAAAATACCAATTTTTTATGTTTTACATTTTACCTTGTCATATTTTAAACAATTATATTCATCTTCCATTATTATAGATTTTAATTAAAAGAGATATTTTCTTATAATTTAATATAGTTTTATATTTATATTTATATTTTATTTTATAATTTATTTACAGGTTTTGTTTTTTGCATTTCGTAATTTTAAAATTATATTAAATATTAATATATTAATTAAAAAAAAGTGAAAACGAAACTTGAAAAAAATATAAAAAAAAACTTAAACATATCGTTGTTGATTTAAATATTTTTTTTTTTGATTAAACTTTAATATAACTTCTGGGAAACCCAGTATTAATATATATATATTAGTTCATTCAATTTTTTCGTTCAAACTTTTTTTTTTTTTTTTTTTTTCAAGAATAAATATATTACATAGAAAAAAATAAAATAAAAATTTTGTAATTTAAAAAAACTCTATATGTTTTTCTTTTTTGATATGTACATGCTTACCTATATATTATTACTAATAATTAAAAAAAACATCTTTTTATTAAAAATAAAATTAAAAAATTAAAAATTAAAAATTAAAAGTTATAATTAGAAAAATAAAAAAAATCTTATTATTAATGTCTTTCTCTAATTCATTAAAAAAATATTATTAATTATATAATCATAATCATAATGATAATAATAATAGTGTGTTGATTATATCGCACCAACAAGTTTCCAAAGAATGGCTTCATAACAAAATACAAATTGTCTCAAATTTTGTACAATGCTTAATCGTTGCTCTCTAAAATTTAATATGGTGCTTTGAATAATATCTTTTACATCATTGTAATCAATTGAAGAAGATGATGATAATATAGAGATTACGGTATCGATTGTACAAAATGTTCCGGTACGCCCACAACCAGCCGAACAATGAACGATCATTGGACCAATTTGTTCATGTTGACGTTGAGCTTCAACCTCAGCTCCAGATTGTAAATCATTGGCCACATCAATAAGTTTTAATATGTTGATGGGTGTTTCTGGTGTGCCGAAATCAGGCCAACCAAGAAAATGTAGTTGGGTAATTTCTCTTGGTGGAATGTTGGGATGATTTTTATGAGACAATTTGAATTTTCTAATTATTATTGTATTATCTATTATTGGTGGAAATTTTAAATTACTATTTTCGTTAACATTGCAATTATTTGTTGTTGTTGTTTGCATTGGAGATTCAGAAATCAAGGTTAAGTTTAAAGGACCATAACCACAAGGATTTGAAGCAGATTCCGACCAATACCGATGGCACTGAATTCTACCGGCCTCCTCTTCCTTGGTCAACATCACAATCAATCTAGAATTTTGTTCCCAAACAATCTTCCAGAAATCTTCATATGTAGTAGGTAATGGACCTTGAGTAGCAATGTAACGTTTGTTACAGCCTTTTGCTTGAAGAAAACTGGCATTCACATAGTCACAATCACCCTCTTTACACTCGTTAATCTTTACTCGTGCATGGTCATATGGCCAAATGTTATTATAACGATTTTTTGTGCCTTTCTCAATACCAGCCGATATACTATATGGATCATCTAAAGTAGCAATATTTGAATTTTTTATCATCAAAGATTTCAAACGATTCTGTTCTGTTGTTTCAATTTCCTGTTATAAATAAAATAAAAAATAAAAAATAAAAAAATTAGAATTAAAATTATTTCTTTATTTTCAAAAAAAAAAAAAAAAAAAAAAAAAAAAGAATGTTAAACTACGTACGAGAAATAATTCCGCTAATTTCATTCTACCATTATCTTTAAAGGCAACATCACGAATAAATGGTGGTAGTTTTGATTGATCGAGCGATATATTGCTTTGAGTTGGAATGCGAATAGGAATTGTTTCAGTGATTGCAACACCTTCAATATTTTGTCTAATATTATTAAAGAAATGATTAACGTTTGAAGATTCAGTTACTGGTGTTGGGCAAGTGAATGGTCCAGGTTTACGACCTAGTGAAAGTCTTCTACGTGGGAATGTGCCGCTATTATTGTTGTTGTTACTGTCTACTTTTTCGCATAAACCAGGAAATTTTGAAGAAAAGCTGGGGAAACCACCTTTTAGAAAACCAATTTTCACTTTTGGACCTTTGTCTGATGCTGCTGCTGCTGTTGTTGTTGCTGCTGCTGCTGGAGGAATAAATTTCTTGCAAATATGAAAAATTGGAGAATTTTCGGTCAAGGTTGTGGTTTCATTGTCGTATATGATGATATTTTCATAGGCACACCATTCCCTAAAGATTTGCCTGTCGGAATCGTTGACCAAAGTTGCCAACAAACTGTCAATGGTGAATGCAGGTCTTTTTATTAGAGTGGTTGGTGCACAAAGATGTATAGAAGATTTAATTCTGTAGTTGCTGAATGAAGAATAAGGTCTTATATCAAGCAATAAAATTGTCTTTCTTTGTTGCTGGTCAAGTTGTTGTAATAAGCTTTCCACAGTTTCAGACGAAAATTCTTGAAATGGACTATTAGAGGCAAAAGATGAACCAGAAGGCATCGAGTTAGGTCTCTTATTTGAAAGGCTATTATCTGAAGTTTTTAATAATAAATGACGTTTTTGTAGTGATGTAGGAGATGCAGATGATGTATATGATGATGTAGATGATGATGAAGATGAAGAAGATGAAGATGAAGATAAAGAAGGACAACTAGAAGTAGGTGGTGGTAGAGTTGAGGAAGGTAGTTGCGAAGCAGAAAAGGGAAAGTAGGGAGAAGAGGAGGATGTGGTAGAAGTATTTGGAAATAAGGAAGGGGTTAATGGTAATGTTGAAGTAAAAACACCACCACCATTATTATTATTATTATTGCTATTTAACCATGAAGAGAATGCAATCTGTTGATTGTGACGTTGTTGATGATTATTAATGTCATCATTATTGAGGCTATTGAAATTATTATTTATGAATGGACTTGTTAAGGCATCAAAATATGGTGTTTGGGCTGGAGAAGATAATGGTTTAACGTCGAAATAACCTGAAGGATTATTTGATGTGGAGGAAGAAGAAGAATATGACAATGATGATGATGATGACGACGACGACGATGAATTTGAGGAAGATTGATGATTATGATTATGATTATGTTGTTTATTATTGTTGTTGTTGCTATTACTATTTTTATTATTATCATCAGTCGATGCTGGAGCCGCCATATAAGTACCTGGCATGTGAAGATTAAAGTAAGATGATGATTCGCTCGAAACTTCAAATTTTGGTGAATTGCAAACAATATTCATTTTTTTAAAACTTTTAAAAGAAAAATTTTTTTGTTTTGTAAAAAAAAGCAGAAATAAAAAATGTGTGAATGTGGAAATTATTCAGGTTTATATTTAAATAATAAAGATTTTCCGCGAATTGTCCAAAAAAAAAAACCGTTGTAAATAATTAAAATTAAATAAATAAAAATTCTTCTATGATCCGTTTATATTATTTTATTATTTTTACTATAAAGAGTATAACTTCATAATAGTTTTGTAAACACGATATAAATATTATTATTTTTTTTTTTTTCGAATTTACAGTTACTGAAAAAATGTTTATGAAAAAAAGGGAGATAGGGGTAGGTGGGAAGGGGGAGTTTTTATAATATTATTTGAGGTCAAAATGAAAAGGAGCTTTAACTTAAAGAAATGAACAGAAAGTTGTGTTTAATTGGTTGTGATTGATTGATTGATTAAGATCGCTCTATTAATCGATTGATTGATTGATATTGATTGAAATTTTGTTTTTTAAAAATATCTAGAGACGTAATAGATAAGTGGATATTATGTAAACGATTAGACAATATACTAGATAATTGGTAATATGTAAAAGTAATTATGGTAAAGTTTGTTTGTAAAAAGGGTGTGTGTGTGTGTTTTTTTTTATTATTTTTTATTTTCCAAGACAGTTGGTTTTTTTTTCGATTATTTTATTTTTGATTAAAAGCGTTATTTATATAGTTTTTTTTTTTTTATATTAGATTTTGAATATAATAAATAAATGTATGTATAATAATAAATAATAGACTGGACTTATAAATATATGTGTGCGCAAGTGTCAAAATGTTTGGTAAAATATTTTAATTAACGGTAGATTGATTTTGATTTATTTAAATAATTAATTAATTTTTTAGTTTTATTTTTTTTTTGAAAAAAAAAGAAAATCAATTAATATTTATATACATTAATTATATGATTTTTTTTTTTTTTTTTGTGTTTCTTTACTTAATTTGTTAATTATATATTATTAATATTTATTTTGTATTGTTAAATAAAAAAAGATCAATTAAATTCTGCCTAAATACCACAAAAATCTCATAAACTAAATGATAAAAATTAAATATTTTTTATTTATATATTTATTTATACGACGTATTTATACACGTAACTGCATAAATCAAATAAATAATAATAGTAATCATATGACCCACAAAATTAATGACGACAACGACAATAACGACTGCAAGGACAATGATGACGATGCATTTATAATTTAATTGCGTTTAAAACTACGCACTATTACATAGCCATGGGATGTTAGTGTTATTTATTAACCGTTGATTAAATATCCATCTTGAAAATTTTTCTTTTTCGTTATCAGCAAGCAGCAAATTTATAACCTTCAAGCTTGAAAACTTTCTTTTTCATTAAAGGAGAAGAAGAAAGACTGGCCTATTATTATGACTGTATCAATCTGGGTATGGTAAATATCACTAATAGTCAGTCATATCAATCATCATATCAATAAATCACATATCAATATCAATATCAATATCAACAAAATCAATTGATCCAAATTGATTGGTAGGTAATAAAAAGTTCCAAGATTCTAAATTCCGAAATATTCTTGATTTGATTTGATTTATTAAAAAAGTAATAAATCATAAATTATATGAATAAACATAAAATGATTTTTTTTTATAATGTTCGAAATGAAAAATTTATTACTAATTAAATATAAAGAATACCATTTAATAATTAATAATAATAGTAATTAAATATATAGATTTTCTGTGTTACATATATATTTTGATGATATCATTGCCTAAACTAGTAAAGACATGTTTGATAGCACAAAATAATGCAACAGAAATTATCATAAATAATAAACAATCATGTAAATTATGACATAACTAAATATTTGCATGAGTGCGCGTGTGATATGATTTTACCAATTTTGTACGTAATCTACAGCTTAAAACAATTTCGACGATATAATATATACATGATAATAAACCATTCACCAAGTTTAACTTTATCAAGATAATCAGTTGAGTATAATTTTTTACGGTTTTGTCTACTTGTTTTTTTTTATTTATTACTTAAAAGTTTTTTTATTATTTATTAGTCAGTCAATTTATTTATTTATCTGGAACTTTGCAAAAAAAAAAAAAAGTATTTAAAGAGAGCCTGCAAAGTGGATATAAAAATATTAAATAAATTTTGTTTTTCGACTAAAAACTAATTCTTGAAAATTAATGGTTAAATTTCACGCTAAAAAAACAGTTTGCATGTATATGTTATGAAAATATAACATCTTTGAGGGACATGTATGTATTTATTATTATTAATAAATGGTTTAATCATTTGCCAGTATGATATTGCTTAATGTATTATTATTATATGGTGTTCAATTAAAATTGTAACTAACATTGAAGCAAAAACTTGCAGTCAAAAGTTGAGATGTTCGATTTGATTGATTCAATTAATCGGAAAACAATGTCACCAAAACTTTAAATTATATGCGTGATATAAAGAAGAACTTCATTTTTTTTTTCAATTTTGTTGTTATTGTTGTCGTAATTGTTGTTGTAATGGTGGTTGGTAATTGGTAATATAAAATATATCACTGCAAACAACAAATGCATACAATTACCCAAATGGAAATGACCCGGATAATTATGGAAAAAATTCCCTGGTTTTTTAAGTACCATGACATCATTTATTATTTTAGTTTCCTTATTATTGAAATATAGTAAAACTCATCATCATCTCATACTCACAATAATAATAATGATAATTATAATTTATATTGCTTTTTTTTCTTTTTTTTTTTACCAACTTGCTCAATATCATCATCCTTTTCATCCTTCACACCAATACCTTTGGATATTTAATTTATCTATCTATAAATGATGGATATATGTGATATTACATAAACTTCTAATTCAATCAAAAATTTTTCAAATTTTATCTTAATTAAATTCGGTGGTCTTCCAAATTCATTCATCCACAGTTCCATGCACTTCCAAATTCATCATCTTTAAAGAACCTATACCATTTTAATAACTCCAAAATACAAACAATCCAGAACCTTCAGAATCTCATTTTTTTAATCAAATCAATTGTAACAATCGATTTATAAAATTTTTACTCGATAAATTATACAAACCTTATCTCTTAATCTTTTACAATAATGTTTTACAAAAAAAAAAAATAATAAATTTATTGCTTTGTGCAACAAAAACGCCATTCATCAATCTCCGACTTCTCGTAATTTTTAAAGAATTAAGTTACCTGCCGAAATTATTTATTGTTGTTTTTATTATTGTTTTATTATTATTATTATTACTACTACTATTATTATCATTATGAATTATTTTACTTTGTCGGTTAGTCTAAAGAAAAAAATTTCGCCACTATTACTACCAAATTCAATCTCCACCTATCAAATAAATATTGTTCCTATGCAATAACAACAGTTTTAGGCTGTTGTGGTGGCAGTTGTAATATGGTTGTGGAAAAGATTAGTTACATTAATGTTAAGTTTAATCAAATACAAAATAAAAAAAAGGAGAAATTATCCATCAACTGTGTAATCTGGTATTTTTCAACTTGTATTTTCCCCATTTAAAATTTTTATTTTTGCGTATAAAAAAAAATTAATTTAATGGCCGTAATTTCTAATCCGTAATAGTTATTATTATTATTATTATTATTATTATTATTATTATTGTTATTTATTATATAAATGACATCATTTACGGTTTATTGATAGATAATGTCATGTATCAACAATCAAAAGTCCCCAAATAATAATAATGACACGTCGATGAAAAAATCATTCCTAATTAAGATGATTCCATGTGTTTATTAATTAGTAATTAGGAGTTTCTGCTTGCTTTTTTACCATATCATCATCATCATAATAATCCTTTCCGTTTTTTCTTATCAATCAATCAATCACATTATTTGTTTGCTTACATCTCTTACATCTATCTGCCCTGAATTACTTCTAGGCCCGATTACATCATCACATATATTCTTTTTTCCCAAAAAGATCGTTGTGAATATGTATATATATAGTTTCTATCCCGACTTAGCCCCTAGTAACTGTAAATAGTCAGTTTGGCTTGGATTGATTTGATTGGACGAATCAAAGAAAGTAATATTGCTAATAAAGGAAAAACCTTGCTGATGGATCTATTGATGTATTTAATATTAAATTTGTAAAATTGATTGGTACTAACTGCACAAGAGCTACTTTAACTTGCCGGGATTTTCCGGAAATTTTACAGAAAATTTTATGCGCTGTTGATTAACAAAGGAATATAATTATTTGGGATCAGACGGTTCAGATTGCGACATTTAAAGTTCAGATTTTAAAAAGTTTAATTAAAAGTTTATATACCCGATAAAATTATTGTTTACTATGAGTTAAATTATACGTGTTTGTTGGTTTGGGATGACTACGAATGAATCAATGAACGAATGAATGAACGTGAAAATGACAAACATTTAAATTTTACTGTGGTGCAAGCATTCATATTAGCATTAGGTAAAAATAGTAAAAATAATAATAAACGCGGATAAATTACGAAATAAAATTTCAAGTTTTTTAGAAATTCATAATTTATTTTTTAATTAAAAAAAAAAAAAAAAAAAAATTGTTCGTGGGACCTGACTTCGATAGCTTCAATATACATAACAAAATTGGTCAAAAAAAGAAAGGGAGTACATGAATCCAAATATTTAATGTTAATTAAAGGTAAGATTAAAAATCAATCTGATAAAATTTCCTTCGTATTGTTTAACGGCCTGCATATCAATCAATCAACACACGCCTACTCAACTTTTATTACCATGAATCAATAAAATTGTTCTTTTTTATATATATTTAATGTAGGATTAAGGAATATTATAAGTTTAATATTGTATACGCTACAATAGGAAACTAATATTCAATAAGTGGTTTCATATATATATATATATATATGGAATACAAATAATAATCAATTTATGTATGTGTAACTCTA